CATTAGCTAACGACGAAGGTGGAAGCTTGCGAGAAGCATTCCAGCCAGGGACATAGCCTCGCAGGACGCCAGGCAAAGAACCAAGTATCCTTGTGGCCTGGGCTTAAATATCTTTTCGTCTTTCAAATCGTCACTTTATTGGTTATTAATCCCTTTTCTCGGTCCCAGATTGGTCTTTTTCTGTTACCAGGTGAAATTAGATCAGATCGGTTCCCGAGAAAGACGATCGTTTACGAATACAATTCGACATCATCTTTCGTTCAGTGTTGGACGAACCTTGTACTTAACTAACATTTTTTTTTTTTTTTCGTCTGGTCTTATAAAGAATTTAATTTACTAATTTTTCTCCTTTTCCTTTATAATTTAATTCCTTAATTTTAATTCATCGTGAAGATCAAGATTCGTTTTTGTTTTGATATATGGCTAAAGGAATGTTTTTCATCCCAGCCCAGGACCTTACAAATACAGTCGACCCCCTATAACACGGTAGATACCTTCCGGTTTTTATGAAATTTATTTTCTATGAGTCCTTAAATACATGAGCCAATCACAGCCCGGCACGTATGCAGTTTACGGACTACGGCTATTTGAAAGGTATCATTCCATAAAATTAATCGATTCCTAGACTAATTCGACTCAACGTTTCCAAAACACGTATATATTTTTGGGGAATAATCCATATAAAAAGTTGTAGGACTACTTACCGAGTGTGCACCGTTCGACGTCGCCATTGCTTAAGCTTGTTTTCGTCGCGGAGCAGCGCACCAAATGGCGGCCGCGATTTCTGATAAGTTATTTTTCTGCGAAAAATTCGCTGAACTTTGGAGACATCATTAATATAAATAATTTTAATCGCCGTTGAATAAGAAATGTTTCTTTCACAAGAAATGTATAAAATTACAGTACTGTATTAGACTTACGGNGCTGCTCGTTTAAACTCAACGATTTGTGCAATATCCGCTATTGGTGTAGATTCGACCAATCCTGTCGCGACACGAGTCGGCGATGACGTTTTACTGAATTATATGAGTCTCTTTTAGCGTGTTTATACGAATACGGTCGCAATTTTTTCGCCGTCATATAGGAATTCGAACTATATGAATCCGTTTTATAGGGGTCTACTGTATATGTATTTTAAAAAAAAGATATGTATTAGTTAGCACCTCTTTACTTAAAGGGGTGCTAACCCCTTAAGTAAAAAGTAGGATTTCTTTCCCGGGATCCCGTTGTCCCGGGATTCTCGTCGTTTATTCCCTACGAGAAAAATCCCGGGAAATTTTATTTTCCCAGGAAATCTCGCATTTCAATAATAATTTACCATGTGAGGTTTTCTGTCTATTATTTATCATACGAAAAGTTACATCTTAAAGACTCACCTAAGAGAGAAATTTTGAGGTTTCTTGCTGCATATTATTACCTATGTTTTACAAGTCTCTTATTAGTTCATGTAATATCTATGTATTGTGTTTGCGCATCATTGAACAGCGGAGACTTGCTGAAAGTAAATATCACTCATCGCCCTTTAGTTTACTTTTTATTTCATCTTTAGAAATAAAATAGTATTTTTTCGTAATCATTAAAACTCCGAATGAAACGCTTTATTTTACTTTCATCTTAAAATGTAGGAGAACATAAATTAATTGAGCCTAACGTGTCTGTATGGGTGAGATTGGCCCTACACTTTTAGTTACTTACTAGGAAATAAATTAAATTATTCGAATTTATTTGTGATCTTTTTTATTCATATAAAATTCTATTTTACTATCTCATCCCGGAATTTCCCGGGATCCCGGGGAAAAGAAATTATTTTTCCCGTAATCCCCGCTGGAGGCAAATTTCCCGGGAAATGAGAAACCCTAGTAAAAAGACGACGGAAGAGGGGCGTATGCCCGAAATGCGTATCGGTGAATAAGATATTCCTAAGTTAAGAGTGATGTTAAAGATGCCCAGTGTCTACCTATGCACCCAGCTGTGAAATAAAGAATAACTTGTTTTTATTGTTATGTTTCAAGTATTTGTATACAGTATGTATCAAATATAATATTTACAAGAAAGCTTTGCTAAATCTGAAAATAATATGGCAATTTTTCTTCAAAAATGTTTGTTGATGTTTGCTATTATCATATGAAATGAGGAACTTTATTTAAAGTATTTATAAATTTTTTAGAATATACATGATTATAAATAATAATATATTTTGAAATGATTTACCAACGGGAATGCTGAATGGCAATGTAATATACTACAAGAATCTTATTCCTAAGATATATACAGTATTTGTATTGTTCAACAGATGTAGTAAACAATATGAAATTTACATATAAATTTTTTAAATTTGAATCTAATATTTATATTAAATATATAATCAAATATAAATAATTGAAAATAATTATTATTTCTTTTCTAGATTATTCAATCTATGTATTCTTATTTCTCATGTTTGTTGATCATTTCAAACGTGATAGAAGCATGCACATGCGTTGCAAAAATTGAATGAATGAAATATCGAATAAAACAATTGAATTTCCTTGTAGATAGAAAGATAAAATTTAGACCTTGGAGCAATTGCACTGATCAAAACAGCTTTGCTCTTGGGTACTACCGGCATAGTTGTTTCAGGGTGTTTCAAAAAGAATCATCTGATTTAAAATGATCATATTATGAAAAGTAATGAAGATACACACTTAAGATTACTTTTATATTACTGGACTAATCTACACGTTTTTTTACATACTAAATCATAGGTGCTCAATATACCCACATTTGGATGCATGGCATCCAAATGTGGGCATATTGAGCACCTATGATTTTGAGCACCTATGTTCAAACGATAGTGAAATTCATCCCAAACTTTTGCTAGCATGCTCGGATCCACTGCTGCCACCACTGCTGTTATGCGGTTTTGCAGTTCGACCACTGTAGCTGGAAGAGGAGACACATAACTGGAGTCTTTTATACCTCCACAAGAAAAAAAATCGCAAATAGTGATGCCCGGCGACCTAGGAAGCCAGTTATGTAATCATTAAGTCTCATGCGGCCGATCCATCGTTGGGGAATCTGTATTCAAAAATTCTCGAACTTCCAGTCTCCAGTGTGGTAGTGCCCTGTCCTGCTGGAAAATGAAGTAATCCGAGTTGGTCTTTAACTGTGGGAAAAGTCAGTTTTCTGTTGTCCAGTCACCATCTTGAAAATATGGAAGTGACAGTTGAATGAAGTGTGCAGGTGCTGCCAATTGGCAACCACATAAAACTCAAGATTTTCTTCCTTCTAACCGTACTGTACATCGTTCGATCAAAACGGATTAAAAGCTGAATAGTTATGATTTTTAAAAATCAGATTATTGTTTTTGAAACACACTGTATAAAAATTATTTGCACAATGGTGTGTGATTGGCCATAGTCACTGAGTGCTTGAATGAGTGAGAAAACTGTGCCAATGTGCAGCTGAAAGAACAAATGATTGAGTCTTTCATTGGTTGCCATAGTAAAAGACGATTATATACAGCGTCACTTTATACTTTATTTGCCTTCATATAATCAAAATAATAAGAACAATATAGGAGAGTAAGCGGGAGGTGTAAACTTTGCCCAAATTTAAATATCTTATTTATTTTCTTGCTTTTCTTTACAATAAAATGTAAATATTTTTTTCTAATAGGTTCGTACCTGTATATTTATTCATTTTTGTTAAATATGAAATCGTTCTTTAGTAATTTTTATAGCCTTTTAGGTTTTTAATAATTCTTATTATAAGAGGTTCTTTTTTTTTCTTTTTTCGCCTTGTGAGAAATATGAGGACTTTTTTAAGCCTATTGTTGAAGTTGAAATCTCCAAGCCTACAATGGGACAGCAAGAAGGACTGAGCTCGACATTATCCCCGAAAAATTTCCAGTGTTTTCTTGACGTGACCACATTCCTTTCCAGTGTAACATACTGACATCTTAACATGGGTCAGCCTCTGCTGGAAGGGTCTATGTGAAATGAAAGAAATGGAAAGATACATTTTCTTCCTCCTTGGGAGTTGACACAGGATCTATCGGTTTCAGCTGTTTTGACATTTGTAAAACGTTTTTCTACCATCTTTATAATAATTTTATAGTTTTATTTTTTTTACAAATTTTATCACTCACTCTTAATTCTAACGTTACACACACTTTAATCACGTGTCTCCTTTTATCTTATATTGACCTTTGCAGCTCAAACTGGCTCGTGTCTATTTTTTGTTGCACGGACTATGATGTAGTTTACTGTTTTTAAAATAAGCAAATTACTTTTTACTATATAAATATTTGCGACACAGCCTAACATACATCATATTGTATATTTATATACAATATGATGTATGTTAGGCTGTGTCGCAAAAAGTAGGAAATACAAAAAGCCCAAAAAGGGCGTGTTATGGAAATGTTGCACAGGAGCCACTCGTGTAGTTACTGCACTGTAATAAACAGAATACATCATTGTAAGAGATGATAATGCAGCATGCCCGTATTGAGACTGACATCATGAAAGGCTTTAAGTAAAATTAGGTAAGAGCTGGTGTAAAAGTAAGGCATTGAATTTGAAAAGAATTTCACTAAGTTTCAAATAAAATTACAAAATCTCCCCACGTATGCCCCTAATGCATGAAGAATATCTGAACGATATTGAATTTCTGCCGTGTGGTGCTGCAATCCCTGCAGCGTAACGGCGACCGTATTCGCACATAAAGTTCATTGAAATCATTTATTTTGTTGCCAGCATAAACCCTGTCCTTCACACATTCTCAGAGGAAAAAGTCTACAGGCATAATGCCAGAAGATTGCGGGAGCAATGGACACCACTTAAGCGAGGATGGAACACAGATGAGATAAAACTCGGATGGTAATCTATTGACTGTATATTTACTCTCAAATAATAACTAACATAACTACAGTAATTTAAAATGATAGTGTTCATTTAGGAAGACTCTGTATTAAAAAATTGAAAACAATAACAAAGATACCAATCAGTTTATTTGATTTTACTTAATTATAACCATAAAATTGTTTCCAAAAATTACACTTTTCTTCTTCTGCTCTTGCTAGATGAAAACGTTGTAGAGAAAGAGAAAGAGATCTTCGCTCATTTACACCAAATTCCGACCATTCTTGTTCCATGCCATCATAGGAAGGTTTCCTAAAATAATATTGAAGATATTAAAACATATACATTGTAATTTGAGAGAAAATATTATTAACATTTCTAAAATCCACAGTTTCATCAAAACTTCCATTAGTTTTGATCTCTTACTGCTATGGAGTGTTAGTAAGAAAATTCGATTGGCTATGATAAAGTAAAAGCAATTTGATGAGTAAATAAGAAGTGGTGTAATAAATTAATAATATGTAACTGAATATTTGTAATTGATCGCGGGTTCGTGCCTCACCGAGTTTTTTCACTGTTTAACTTTTAAATAGATGCTAGTACTCTAGACTCAAGGACTTTAAACTAACAAGGATAGCCAGATCCCGTATATTTGTTAGCATGACCTTGGATCTATGTGACGTCACAGCAAGTCCTCTACTTCAATATGACAGACCTTTCAAATAACAAAATACGATAAAATATTAAATCATTTCTTAATTAATTATTAAATTACTACTAAATGTAAACTACTGTAGAATTTTCGGATTTAATAAGTGTACTGTACGTCAATAAATTTACAAGTCTTTTGTCTAATATTTATTTAACAAATTAATGAGCTATATTTTTTAATATGTGATTATCTTACTTAACTTTTTAATTTTTTTTCGACAATCACCATTTTCAGAAGGCATTCTTTTCAATATTTTATAGTTTTCTTGTTTAAGATTTCTATAATTAATTCTTATTATAGTTCTTAATTTACAAAAATCTTTTATTAAAGTAAAAGGTAAAACTGTTTCCACTGACTAATTCTGTACAACTCCGGGGCCTTTTTTATACGATTCATCGTGATATATTTCGAAATATTTATTCCATTCTATAATTTTTGCTAGCCATTCATCAGTAGGTTTAATAAGCCCTCCATAAGATAAATGTTGCACCCATGACGGAATGCTATAGTTGTAATGATTTTTAATTTTGTTAGTGGAATTAATTAAGTTTGGGTATTTTTCTTTATATTTATAGGCAAAATATCCTGCTATATACTCGAGAGCATCGTAGGAAGTTTCTTCAGAGATTGTGTTAAAGTCTAGATTGCATGTAGAGTTTCCTGAAGATTTATTTGAAGAAAAAGTAGTTTTACATTCAGTATATTGGTCTGTATTTTCACTTGATACTTCTACATGTGCTTTCTCTAAAACTTTGGGTATAATATATTCCTCTTGTCTTCGATCTGTAGTATTTACTTTTGACTCTAAAATACCAGGATTCTTACCTAAAATAATCAATCTAATCCTATATATAGCATTTAATGGGCTTGGATGTTCATTAGGACCCCGGCTTCTAATTTTAAAAAAAAAAGTTTTCCAGACAATCTTGATTTAAATTGTGAGTGCAGATGTATTTTATATCAAAAGTCGATTTCATATCTTGAAAAAGATCAATTAGCGATTTCATTGAGATTATCATTCCTTTCTGGAAAATTTGGAGGGCATTTTTTCCACTTGCTCTCATTGTTGAGATTATTTTTATCATTTTATTTAAATGTTCTTCTTGTAATTCCAAGTCTACACCATATCCATTTTTGCTTGGAACAGAACCTTTTGGTGCATAGCTATTAAAAATGTCGAACCACATATTTATATCTCTAATATACGTTTCATTGATGATAATAATTGATTCATAATAAACGTTTCATTGATATTCACATTCAATTCTTTCCATAAACTTATGTTACTGCAATTACAATCACTGACGCAAGATACTACAAATTATACGATAGTAAATAAAGTTCTGCTATTAATTTTAAAAGTATTTCTCTTGAGATTTTTTGATCAAACCCGATGTAAACAGGTTGCTTCAAATTTGAGAAAAGAAGGTTATTATTGCAACCATACACAGCACACCTAGTACTCAGCATTTTGTTCTTCACCTAACATAAAAATATAGCTTTAAATATTTAATGACTTATATTTAAATCATCTTACCTTATAAAAAACTTAGTCAAATAAAACAATTACAGAAATATTAAAATAAATCACTTCGTTAATCACAAAATTGGACGAATATTAAAAGCGAAAACTAAACACGTGCACCCCCTGCTCTATGTAAACAGAGAGGTCAGGACTCGTGCTGACGTCACTAACTTGCCATTCCTGGCTAACATTGTAGAATAGGGATCTGGCTATCCTTGGTAGTATATTGTCCTTGCTCTAGACTGTCCTCTGGGACGGCAGATTGCCAACGTGTTACGTTGCTTTATTCCATCAATTCAATGCAAATGCAAGTCAATAATATGTAATATTTTAGAATATTTTGAAATAATATATTGTTTTCATTTTTAACTCTCGCCATACCATCACAAGCAGAGCCTTTTATCATATTAATTGCCATTTAAACAAGATCCAAAATGGAGATGACTAGGAGGTGAGAAATGAAAACCGATATATCCGGGACAGACTGCCTAAAAATTGCTAGAAAGTTGATCGTTTGGATTAGATTCCGGTTCCCCAGAAATAGACTTTTTCTTAACCGCTTCGGCCATCCACCATCCAAATTTTGAAGCATTAAGATATTCATAGTAACAATATATCTTCATTAAAAGATGAGATTCCTCGTTGCTACACTGGGCGATGGTAGATGCTAACAGGTTTGGTTTAATCGGATGCGGCAACAGTGGCGTGCCGTCATTAGAAGCGGTGGAAGCGCCGCTTCCTTTGTATTTTATAAAAAATAAATACATATTAATTTTAATTATACGAAAATAATCGCACAATATTTTATTATAACCGCATTACGTATCTTATTACAAATTTCTATACTACACGTGAAAAAAAAATAAGATTGCTATTGTATATTCGAATATTAGTGGCGGAGTGTAAGCGCTGTATCGTCAGTATCGAAAAAGCCAGATTTGCGCATGCGCTTTACAGAGCACCAACCTCACCGGGTTTAGCCAGTGGAGGCCTACGACCTTGAGTTGATGCTACACATTCCAACGCTTCCAATTCTATCCGGGACCGGTTCCGGGCTGTTAGCCGCCCGCCCGCTAGATATTTGGCCGATTACGTGAATAACGAGTAGATTTATAACTTAACCCAATCGATAAGAATTTACTGATATGTTTTTACGATAGTTCCGTATAGTTGACAGGAGTTAATTAATTAATTAATTAATTAATTAATTAAAATGTCCATTAAAATATTTGATATATTTATTCCGCTCTTCGATTTTATATTACTCACGGATTTCAATGTTAAACCGGTGATATTACGGTTTCGTATATCCCGTCTTTAAGGGGATGTAGAAAAAAAACGTGTACAATTCTTGTATAATGTTAAAAAATTAACCGTTACTTTGGTAGCATCATTTACAACTAAATTTAATGAATGAGAGAGATGCACGAGGTACAGAAAACGCTCTAGAATTTATTTTCCTTAAATTTACGATTTATGTATCCGTTTGTCATAAAAATTTGTCTTTCCACTTTTTTCCCGAGACTACAAATATTCGAGTACAAAGTAACCGGTTTCGACTTATTTCTACTTAAGAAGTAGTTAAATAATTAAGCGATTA